AACAATGGGACCGGTTACCAGTCCCACTGTTTTTAGCTGGGCGGATTCGTACATGCAGAGCAATAAGGGGCCGTCCGTAAATATCGAACTTTTTTCACCAAACGAATTATTTTAGTTTAGACCCAACCCCTCCCTCCCTCCCCCTCAGAACGTAAAAAGTTGCGTATACAACAAAAGTCGCAAGTGTGTCACTGCTCCTACGGCCATGTACATGTATCGAAGTTTTCTGAAACGAAATTGGTCAACCCCCTCCCACCCCATAACGAAATTATTTCGTTTCGTGAAAAAAGTTCGATAATTGTGGACGACCCCTAAGTAAGTTACCCATGGCCAGGACAAGTACAAGGTAGACTTGTAGTTTTGCTCTGATTTTTGCAGTCGGACTCGGGTTGTTCTTGCTGCCAAGTGCCAGTGAGTCTGTACGACCCATGTCACTATTAGGCTGTGTTTACATGAAGCGTTTCAACCCGGGTTGAGTTCGACCCGGGTCAGATTTCAACCCGCCATGTGCACAAAGTGAATGGCGCGTTTACATGACGCATTGCGCTTGACCCGGGTTGAAATTTCGCCCCGGGTTGATTTCAACCCTCCCCCCAAGGGGAGGGTTGAACTCAACCCGGGTCAAGAAAATCGTACAAACGTACTTCTGTGCGTATCTCGCGCCAGGTTTGAACAGCACTGCAAATTTCGCGCGAACGGATTCACGTGACCATACAGGACTGTAGAAGTGGACTTTTGGCGGCATATTAGTATTTGACCCGGGTCAACTGTCTTCATGTAAACGCTCACCTCTTTTGTCTGTCGTACAGACTTTCAACCCGGGCTGAACTCGACCCGGGTTGAAATTTCTCATGTAAACACAGCCTTACATTGTACATGTATTAGTGTCATATCGGCCTCGGCAGCTGACGGGTTCTCCCGGGCTGTACGACAAACTTCCCCGGGTTGTACGACGAACTAACTACTCTGCCGGTACTAGTTTACATGTTGGGTGAACGTGTTCCCCTCATGAGCGCGCGTTTGTACGGCAGTTGTCTTTTGTATCTACTTGTCACTTTTATCAATGCATGGGCCGCGGGATGTTGTATCTGCTAACTGTCTTATCGTATACGCTGGCTGTTTAGTTAAGGTGGCAGTCTGGGTTCAGAGGGTCAAAAAACAAAGTTTCGATTTTCTGTATTTTTTCACTGGCAGCGTCTTGTGTATGGTCCAAAGGGTTTATCCTGAAAATTTGAGCGTAATCGGGTGCTTCCTTCCGGAGATATAGCCGCGCAAAGTCTGCACAATTGTTTTTGAAATACTGAAATATCAGCAAATTTCTACAAAATTTAGGTTTGCACACTATTCCGATTTTTACCGTCAATCTTTGAGCGATTTCATTAAAATTTTCTGGAGCGACTCCTGGTACTCCTCTGCGCTGCAGACTGACAGCCGCGCACGATCTTTGTCACCATGGCAACCAAGATAACTTTTGCGCATGCGCAAATTCAAAAAAATTCAAATTTCGACTCTCATGATCTCAGCTGATCGCTCTGCTGTTGAAACTAGTTACTTTTGGAGTAATTGTTTTGGAGTAATTGTTTCTTGGAGCTAACCCCTTCGTTGGCTACTATGGGGAAGTCTAGAGCCAAGGGAAAGCCCGGACGATCTAAGAAAAGGAAAAGAACGTTCTATGGAGTGTCTCAGGCGCCGAAGGCTCCCTCTGGTGAAATTTCGCCTGCAAAACAAATTCCTGACTTGCCACTGTCTGATGACGACCTTGAAGTGTCAGCTGAAGCCACGTCTTCAAACAGCGATAGTGATGGAAGTGGCGGTGAAGTCGACAGCAGTTCCTCCGACAGTGACTTGGATGAAGAGTGTGAGGAAGGGGCGCATGGATTTCGCCTGATTGATCTCGAGTGCCTTCAGCAGCTTTTGTCAGCTGCAGTTTGTTGCAGTGGCTGTAATGGCGCAGTCACGATCAGCGAATCGCAACGGGGAGGCCTTGCATCATGCCTGGAGCTTTCCTGTGTTAACTGCGGCGACATAGCAAGCGAATTTATGTCCAAGAAGTTCAATCGGGTCTGGGAGGTGAACAGACGAGCAGTATTCGGAATGCGACTGATTGGCCGTGGACGTCAATCAATGGTAAAGCTGGCGGGTGCACTGAATATGCCATCACCTATGAGTCGGTCGACATTTTACAGCCATGCTAAAGGCCTGCATTCCGCGTCCAAGAGCGTCGCTGAGCGTAGCATGACTGAGGCAGCTGAGAAAGCAGTGTCCGCAGCAGATGGGGGTAGCGATATCGCTGCTTCCTATGACGGTACCTGGATGCGCCGAGGATTCGCATCGCTCTTCGGAGCCTTCACTATAATTGCATATGATGTCGGCAAAGTGGTGGACTGCGAAGTGCTTTCAAAGTTTTGCCACAAGTGCACGCACTTGGCGTCTAGAAAAGAGAAGGGAGAGCTAACCAAAGATGACTATGATCGACAGATTGCCGAACACGATTGCTCAGTCAACACCACTGTATCAGCTCCTGCCATGGAGAGTGCAGCCGCCAAGACTCTGTGGGCCAGGTCCTTTGAGAGCCGCAAGCTGAGGTACACCACCTACATTGGTGATGGAGATACCAAGAGTTTTAAGGCTGTGCGTGACGCTTGTCCGTATGGGCCCGAGGTGCCTGTAGTCAAGGAGGAATGTGTCGGCCACGTTCAAAAACGCATCGGTACCAGCCTAAGAAAGCTGAAGAAAAACCTTGCGGGCAAGAAGCTTGCTGATGGGCGCACTATAGGCGGACGTGGTCGCCTCACGGATGCCATGATCGACAAGCTGCAAGCCTACTATGGCATGGCTGTGCGGAACAACAGCGGAGACTTGCAAGCCATGGCCAGGGCCATATGGGCATCCCTCATGCATCGTGCATCCAGCGACAGTAAACCTCAGCACCAGTATTGTCCGCCTGGAATTAACAGCTGGTGTAGATGGCAGCAGCAACAGGCAGGTGGTGATGTCTACGCCCACCACAATATCCTGCCAGAGGCAGTATGGAAGGAACTGAAGCCGGTCTACATTCGGTTGTCCGACCGGAGTTTGCTCGAGCGCTGCCAGAAGGGTGCTACGCAGAATCGCAACGAAGCGTTCAATGGACTCGTGTGGCAGTTGTGTCCAAAGACAGGCTTTGCATCCGCTCCCACTGTCCAGATGTGCGTCTACCTGGCCGTGGCCTGGTTCAATGATGGAGGTGTGGCAGTGAAACGCGTTCTGGACGAGATGGGCCTCCCTACTGGACACCATACGACACGTCTCATCAAGCTGCTAGACCGTGAGAGACAGGCACATGCTGCCAGAAAGAAGTCAGAAGAAGGGAAGAGGTCACGAAAGAAGCGAAGGAGGATCAGGAAAGGCATCCAGGATGAGCAGCAAGAGGAAGAAGGTTTGACATATGAAGCTGGTGGCTTCGACTAAGTTCTAGTAAGTTCTAGTTGGACAGACATACCTCCATCTGTACTTGCACAGAGCACTTTTTTTCTCCATTTTCCACTGAGTCCCGTACCTCTTAGACAGCGTAGCGAAGAACCTGTAAGTCACAGACCCCATAAACCATACATTTTTGGAAACTGTGAGCATTTATCAAGGTGCTAAGTGTCATGGATTTTTATATTTGTCTAGTAGCTTTGAGTAAAGTGCTACTGATCGAGGACCTAAATTTTGCGCGATTGCATGATTTTTGTTTGACAGCTTGAGTACTTTGTTCTGAATATGATTTCAAAATTCCGCTCCACTTAGCACCTAGGTATATGTGAAGGAAATCCTGTGGAGCACTCAGTTTCTACCCAGCTTCTTTCTGCGTTTGCATATTGCGTCTAAGGTATTGGTGGTACGGCATAATCGCAGATTTGACTATTGTGTCTGCGGATTCCCATGTGTGAGCTTGATTTATACTTCATTGGACTTAGTGAAATACACTGGGTATGTGGTCAAGATTTGAGCAAAATTCATCAATTATTATGGAAGTTACGGCTGTGTTCATGCGGTCGGGCCGCGAACCCAGACTGCCACCTTAATTCATAAATAATACGCATTTCTCCTTGTCTTCTCCCATTGGTCAATTCTGCATAGCAACAAGCTCTCTATGGTCTGATTGGTTGGGTTTTCCCGCCTTTGCTACTCCTTTGTGTAACTCGATCCTTTTTGTTATCATATAACCCCTGCTGCTTCTGATCAAAAGCACAAACCTTCCTTCGACCTTCACTCTTGAATCGAGCTGGAATCATAGTGACTCTCAACCTTATTCGAATGACCAAGGTGAGCGTGTGTGGCTGAATGGATACTTGGATCAACTATATTGGTTGATGACCTGGTGGGGTTACTACGGCAATGCGAATGTATATGTTGTAGCCTTGAGATCGGTATTGTGTATGTCCGGCACGACATATTTGGTGCTGTGACCAGGATCCAAGTTCTGTTCTTCTGTAGGCGATTGCTTACGGAAGGCCTCCAGAAGCTGGACTGTTTGGGTTGATGTCAGATGGGCTGTTGTCTAAACTGAACAGATCGAATGATTTTACGGCATGGCAGCAAACAATGATCGTAATGTAGAGCGATTGCTCTTTGTTGAAGGCA